CAACCTTTTTGGATTGAGCTGTATGTTGTGGTTCAATTTTTATCCTTGGTTTAAATTTTATTTTCCTTTGTTTTGGGGTATGGTTTTGTACGATAATGAGTTAGAAACAACTAAACAAAAGAAAATAAAATTTAAACCAAGGATAAAAATTGAACCACAACATATACACAGCAGAAAAGCAACGGAAAAAAAGTTTCAATAAGCAGAAACAGAAATGATATCGATGAACTTTAATAAGATAATAACCTTCAACATAGTTTGTTACGCACTTCGTGTTAATTTCGTTCACAGCTACTCACTAAAGCTATACTAAAAGAAATGTCACTACAAAACATTACATAACAAAAACATTCATTACATCTTTTTAATTACATTTTTCACTGTTGATTGTCGTTTTGACGTTAGACTACACCCGAAGCACTGTACCTCGAATACGCGTGGAAATCAGAGCCGACTGTTCAGAAATCAAAAATGAGAAGAGGACAAAACACAAATAATAAATCTTCATACGTAACAAGTCTTGTCAGTCAGTTATTAATAAAACGTTTTATTTTAACAGCTTGCCAAAGAAATCCGTAAAGTGATTGGTTTTAGTACTACACCTGCGACACTTCAGCACACATACAGTGTAAGCACAACGTTTGTTACCAAACTTCTGCATTTTCTCGACAGCTGGTGTTACTTCATGAACGAAAAACATATTTTATATATTTTAAAAAATGATACTGGGTATATACTAGTCCACAGAAAAAAAGTTTTAAAAGTCTGCACTTAAAGTAATAATTTATCTTCCAAGGTCAGAAGCAGCAGAGGTAGCCAGCCGACTAGGCCGAAATGAGTAAGATTCCACACGACGTCTTCTGGAAATTAATCAAATAACTGACTCGGCAAAACACTAATATATCTTGCGTGCAAGGGGGTCCGCTTGAAGTTCTGATCAAGAGAAATTAACATTACAGCATGCACGGCTGGCAACTGAAGATAGCTTCTTTTAGTACGAAAGAACTTGATCCACAGCGATTACCAAACAAGCTAGAAAACTAATGGAAACAAACAAAATATCAAGTGAGATAAATTATTAAATGAAGGTGGCCGGCATATGGCGGCAATGCACAACTTTCAAGGCCAAAACACAAGGCAATCGCCTGTTAGTAAATTAGGGTTGTTCAGTATTGAGTCGTTTGTCTTTTTACCTTCCGTACCTACGTAAGATAATTATGAGGAAGTTAAATCAACGTGGCATCAAAACATCAACAATCTGACGTAAATTTTAGACATATGGGACACTAACAATGTCACATCATATACATACCTGTTAAGGCCTCCTGTGCAAAATATTTCACATCCACATCATTGTCGCCATTTAGTTTATCAAGCACTGGTTTTATCTGGGTTTTGATGGTACTGTGGAAAAAAATGAGCGTATTTTACATTCTAACAGCGTGTTTCTAGTGAAAGAAAAGGGAGAGTTCTTACTTTTCATCCAGAACCGGGGCGATTTTTTGTAGTGTTTTGGCGACATTAAAGCGAACATTTGCCACAGAATCACCAGCTAAACTGATAACAACCGGCAACATGACGTCTACTACACTCTTAGGATCCATGACTTCTGCTAATACCTGCAATATGTAAAAAAAAATAAAACACTCTGATCTTGGCTTCTACTGAAAAAAAACATCGCTAGGTTTTACTGGGAGATTCGATTCAAAATCATTTTGTGTAATATTAGTAACATGCTGTGTAGTGTTACAACAGCGGTTAACCATGGTGCACCTGCCATAATATTGTGAACAACACATAAGAAAAAACTATACAAGAAAAAATGACAAAACAAAGTATAGAACCATTTACTGAAATGTTGCGCTATTCACTTCTTATAAAGTAAGCTAACTTTATCTAAAAACATCATAAATTTTCGAGGCAATGCCAACCGAAGTGGATATTAAAGGAAACACAGATTTTAGGTGATCAGGTTTTTAGGGTGAAATGACTTATGAAAAAAACACCTGACTCTACCACGGTAGCATGTTTGGGTGTTTGAGGTCACACTATAAAACCACGAAAGCAAACGAACCTATCTACATTCAGAACACGGTGTTCAAAAGTAGAAGGAGCTGGGACGACTTACGTTAATTGAGTATAGAGTGGTAAGCCTGTGGAGATAATTTGGGTTTGTAGCCATGGACAACACTTTTGAAATAATTTTGCTCTAAAAAAGAAAAAAAATAACGGTTATTATATGTTAAGAAGATCAAAAGGTAGAGATCACTCTCCTCATCTGATTGATATAAAAATAACAACAAAGTTGCTCTTCTTCAGATGAAATTCAATGTTTAGAATTACTGGAGGGAAACAGGAGTGTTGGGTGGAGAAAAACATTTCGCAGCAAAAGCAAGAACCAGCAACAAACATAGCGACACCTCCAGGAAGGGAGACGTCAACTCTCGTCACAGCAACAGAAAACAACAGCCCAACAGCCCAAGAACAGCCCTCTCCTGCCCTTTATTACCCTTTGGATTCGTTAATTCGTTAAGAGGGCTAGCTGCGCTTCATTTCCCTCCCTTCTCACCGACACAACTCCAGAGTTTCTTTAGAAACTAACCCCTTCTCCTTAAACAAAAGACGGTCGGCCGTAATCAGTTGAGTAGCGGTGTATTTGTACCATCTCCCAGTTTTGGGGGACAAAAGAAAAACACGAATCAAGTCAAGATCAAATTGACCATTATTTCCTCACCTGGGCCCACTCGGTTCCAAACTTTTCTACTAACTTTTTAAGGTTTTTTGCTGCTGCTTCTCGGATAGCATACACTACAAAGACAGAACAGATTCATCAGCAAATCTTGAAAATGAAACATGATACTTAGCAACAGGTTTAGTGTCTGCAGGTATCTATTCAAAAAATATCAAGAAAAGGGAAGGAAAGGGTTGAGGCAAAAATCAGACTCACCGTGATCTACAAGCCAAGTCATACACAGGCTGTTAAGCTTCTCATCAAAGAATTCTACACCCTGATAGAATGCATGAGACAGTAATGTTATGCATCAGCTACATGTGATAAAATTAGTGAGGAGAGGGACTAGTACAGCTACTGAGTCGTTTCTTCTGTCAGTCGACTAAAAGTATTGGCAACATTTTACATGGTCCCATTTTCAGACCTCAATATACTCAAAAGGTAGAACTACATCTCCCATCTTAATAAGGTTATTGACTCTGGCAGAGAAGGAATTACAACTTTGATGTTTGTTGGTCACCAGTCCAGATAGTAATTGTTGTGGTACTTACCAACTGACTGGCTAGTAATGGCATGTACTCTATAATTGCCAGTCGTACACGCCATTTGGTGTCTCCTGCAAGCTCAAAGATGGCAGGTAGTAAAGACTGTGACAGCTGATTAACGCCAATAACTAAAAAGGAATCAAATAATTATCATTGACAAGTAATTTATTGTAAGAATGGTTTAAGCACTACATGTAACTCAGCAACATACCACTAACAAATGATTCATGAGCTAAACGAAAAAACAGCTAAAAACTTTCAACTAACACTGGAGACACAGTAACTAAAAGAGGAGAAACTTGACTGGGAGTCACACAGCGAGTGTCTTTTTTTTGGGGGGGGGGAAGGGGGGAGGGATAGTGAACAGGAATAATTTGAAGTCCCACCGATTTCACCTCAAAATTCATAACAACTTGTTTCTGGGAGAAACAACCAAATCAACACTGTGCATCGAAAGCCGTCTGAAAACTGGCATTGCCTATCACTCTTAAGTACTGTTGCTTAGCTGGGAATAATTCAGTGTCTATCACGACGCTCATGACATTTTCACCATGTAGCCTAAGTAGCTGTCCTAAAACTCATAATTTATGGTCAAACCTGTATTAAACTAACTGGTACTTAATGGTCACTTGGCAACAACAGCCAACACTGTCTTCACCGTTAAGCACTCTATTGGCCTTCCCACATTCCTCAACGATCCAAACTTTTTTTTTTCTCAAACATTAGCTATTATAGGTACTCTAAAATTTTAGATGAAATTAAGGTAATGTCAGTGACCACCAACAACAGGTTTCATATTACCACTGCCGGTTATGTTTTAAAGCAGCACTGTAGTACCTTGATTGACACAGTCCAAGTTGGATATTATATTGAGTCTTACTTCAGGAATCTGCAAGAAAAGCAAAGCACCGGCCGACCCTCACATAACTTCCTCAAAAGAAATAGCATTACTTATAAAACCTGTCAACTTTGAGAATTGTAAAAATCTTTCTAGCAATAATTATAGCACACTACAAAAACATCATACTTTACCTCATCTTTCAACATTGTAAGGAAAAGGGGAAGAAGGTGTTCAATAGTGCTAAAAATGAAGTAACCAAATAAAAAACGTTAACCGAGCATCAAGTTACTGAAAATACAAGTAAGTTTGACTATCAGAATTAAAGTGGCTCTCAATGGCTGATAGCATTTTTTAGCACTTTGCAATTAACAGATCAACAGTGTGATGCATTTCTTCTGCTACAATAATGGAACTTGGCATCAAATAGTTGCCAAACCCGAGAGCTTTCCTCAGTACCCTGTTAAAACACAGTTTAATTTTAGCATTTAGTTCTTTTAATTCAAAACTGAGTTAGATGTCCCGCATTTTTATCACAAATTGCAATCAACTGCTAACGCTTATTTTGACTACTCACAAAGTTTAAAAACATTCTGTCTGGTAGGTTCAAAGAAACTTTAAAATTTCCCAAAGAAATCTTTTTGCTGTGTTAAGGTTGACGAAAGAGGTGACAACATCCAGAAGTTTCAAAGTAATAATAATTATAAAATTACCTTTTGAACCTCTTTTTAATTAATAATGCATTGCTTCAGACTTACTTATCGTTTCCTAACATTGGTGAGAGTCCCATTATCACAGAAGCTAAAGCAGATTTGACATGCTGATTAGGATCCATTACCAAGTCCTACAATGAACAATGGATAAAAGACAAATTGCAGTCAATTATTTTTCCCCAAGTTGCTGCCTTAATCATCATTACAACTGCTGTGTTAAGCAAAAAGATATGTGTACATGTATCACTAATTTCTGCAGTAAATACGGGTCACTCGATCTGTGTTGTTTTTCATTTTATCACTTTTTTCTGCTTAGATTAAAACTATGGTAAATTTTCTTGACCATAGAGCAAATTCAATATCTAGTAAAAGAGCCTTAGCTTCTCAGTGTTAACAACATACCTTGACACATGGAAGTAAATTAGTCATCAACACCTGCTCACGAACATCCTCAGGAACTTTATCGGCAAAATCTAAAAAAAAACAAAATAGCTTGAAGATGATCGAGGTAGTGCTTCTCGACATTGTCAAAAAACAATAGCTGAATTGCAACTTAACACTTAATCTAATTGACGCAATGCATATTATTAAATGACAGTCTCTAACTCAACACCAGCTTAATTCACCCTATCTTTCTCTCAGCGTCACAAGCAAGTCACTCTAATAACTATACAGTTGCTAGGTGAAATAGCTGCTACATGTATGAAGTCACTTCGAATAAATGTTGTTGTAATAGTGACATGCATTCTCAACTGCTTGTATTATTTATAGAGCTCCTACATGAATAATTATTATAGACCACCCTGAATGCATTACCTTTAACTTTCCCAGCTGCAGCAGCTCTAACTTCCGCCTCACAGTNAGTGCTTCTCGACATTGTCAAAAAACAATAGCTGAATTGCAACTTAACACTTAATCTAATTGACGCAATGCATATTATTAAATGACAGTCTCTAACTCAACACCAGCTTAATTCACCCTATCTTTCTCTCAGCGTCACAAGCAAGTCACTCTAATAACTATACAGTTGCTAGGTGAAATAGCTGCTACATGTATGAAGTCACTTCGAATAAATGTTGTTGTAATAGTGACATGCATTCTCAACTGCTTGTATTATTTATAGAGCTCCTACATGAATAATTATTATAGACCACCCTGAATGCATTACCTTTAACTTTCCCAGCTGCAGCAGCTCTAACTTCCGCCTCACAGTCCTTAAGTAAACCTTGAAATGCTGGCACTAAATCATTCTTTGTGATCTCTGATCCTACAGCATTTTGCAGCTAATCACAACAAATAACATAAGTATGCAACTTGAATGAAAATAACAAAACCACCAAAACATAACTGAAATGCACTAAAAAATGGAAACAGATTGTGTAAAGTTACCTCTGTGAATTTGTCAGCTACCATGTATCGCACCCTCCAAGACTTGTCCTAGAAGAACAAGCATGAAACTTAATGGAAACACTATCTGGGCAAATGACATCCAGAATGTACATGTACAAGCCAAGTTACATTTTAACAAAAACAAGATGGAGTATTTATTTTATCAGATTCCTTGCACAAAATTTATGGCAAAGCATTGGTGAAATGAAAAGATGAGTACATGAATGGAACATAGAACATGATGGATACATAGGGCTTTCATTTCTATGCCACTTTGTCACAAAACAAGGGTTGAATGGTGTGGTTTATGTACCTGTGCTGCAGCCCTAACAGTAGGCATAAGAAGAGTTAGCTTATCCTCATCTGGCAGAATTGATGCAATACTTGAACAGCCTTCTACAGCAAGCAGTCGCACTGAGTCCTGTTCATCACTAGCAAGGTTGTTGAACAGCTTAACAAGGTCTGATTTGACAAACTCTAGCTCCATGCATTTTGCAAATTCCTAAGATGGCAATAAATGAAACATAAAACAAAGGCATGTTGCTACATACACAAATTCCTATCTACACTGTAATCAACATGGAAGTGAACATCAGAATCCACCCAAATAATAATATTCTTAACGTTGATTGAGCACACATAAAAGTGTTAGGGTGTTAGCAACAGACCTTAAACTAACAAGCATGAAAAGCTCAGGGCAAGCAAGGTAGATAATAAGTTTGTTGTGAAAATAGGAGGGACAGCAAAAAAAGTGAAGGGGGAAGGTGACGGAAAGAAAACTTCTCTTTACTTTTTTTGTTATGGTTCTGCATTAAACAACAATCTCAAGGAGAAACAATGCACACTGGGGCAAATCTAATCTTCCTTTCCTATCATTAACACCCAATAGGCCTATTTCAACAATTTTTATACTACAGCACGCAAAGAAAGTGGTGTCTAATAACTCAGGACTCGTGGATTTTGCTTTTGCCTGACGGGCAACTTGGGGAATTCAAATTACAGAAGAACTGTAATAAATCCTGCTCATTATTTTTATTTTTCTTTATTAATTTTTTTTGGAGGGGTTGGGGCAGCTTGTAAAGTAGTGAAAAACTGACTTCTTTGCACCCTGTACTAGAAATACGTCGAACATGCATCTGGCAAGCTCACGTGAAACTCAATGTTGCACACAAGTCAAGCCCTGTCAGTCTCAATATTACTGTGTTATTCCCTAAAGACTTGATACCAAGCATAAAAGTAATAATTTTATAATTGTATCAAAATCAGCCTACCCACAAGCATCTGAAATAGACAGCATACTTGTGTCAAAATCTATTCCATTACAATGATTTGAATAGAGATACACGAACATTGTTTGAACATTATATGCTTGCTCAAAAATGGTTTTAAAACTGCTAAACAACTTCTAATATCCGTGGTAAAAGATCATACATGAATGAGAGTACATGTAGGCTGTCATAAGTGAAAGATGAATCGCTTGTTCATTCTGCATCACTGAGATACTTACTCCAAGTTTTCCAGAAGCTGCTCTTCGCACCATAGGTGTGTCATCTTCACACAACTTTTGAAAATTACTGTTATGAGATAAAAGAAAAAAGATACTCATTATAACCAATATGTTTCCTCCCAGGAGAACATAGGAAAAGGGAGGAAACCTTCCAAGACCGATTGTTGTTTGATCAGGTAGTCAAAGGTCTGTTTACATTTGCACACACCTACACATCTGTTTGTGTATTTCAACGCTTAGTAACAGAAAAATCTACAATTTCTTTCAAGATTTAGCACAGTATTGTAAATCCTCAACTTTTTACATCAATTTCTTTCACTGTGGTCCAACGCAGCCACAAAATCCCCTAAATTCGCCCTTAATTTTTGCCGCTCTGTTCTGTTTTCTTCATCGCCACCTTGAATTCTTATGAGTAAACTGCTGTTGTTGATGTTTGTTGTGACACTGACCCGATTGCAGTATGGAACATGGCGATAAAATGTGAAAATCTTCATTTGCACTCATTTTGTGAAGTGCCCTCAAT